AGAATGTATTCTAACTAACATTGACAGTTATAAATACAAATTAAATGTGAATACAACATTTATTTTGATTTTCTTAGTTAAGCAGTAGAATGGTACTGAGGAAAGAAAAGATAAGATGTTAGGAATAAAGGGAGAATTATATTGATGGATCTTCTCTCCCCAATTTCATCTGCCCATCCCATCAGATCCAGCAGAAAGGGCATGTTATGTTGCCTAGGGAGCTACAATTAGCAGGCCCTAGGCAGCTGGCCTGTTCTGCAGTGGCACCCACATTGTAGAATCTTCTTCCTCCTGAAGTGAAGCTGTTGCCTTTAAAACTCAGGCACTCCGAGTGGCATGGAGCTGAAGACCTATTCCCTGAATTTGGGAGAGAGAACAATTTTACTTTTGCAAAGGTGGCTTCTTAACCTACCTGGAAATATGAATCACCAAGTAATTCAGGCAAAGCAAAAAGCATTTATTAAGGGTGGGTCAAGTCTTTTTGGGTACAGAAACAAATGATACATACATTCAGTATATGTGATACTTCAGAAAGCAAGTAATCAAACAATAAAAGACATTGATTACACATGAGAATTGAACAGTAGAAAACACTGATTACAGATAACATTCCACAAGTGCAAATTTATGGGTTACATCACTCTCTTTCCCAGCCGGGATTGTATTTTTAAAACTTGCAAGTGTATTCAAGGACTTTTCAGAATACGTTCTCTATTGTTTAGTTGCTGAAAAGGCAAGTTCTTGCATGCCAAAAGAAATGGCCTTGGCCCAGAAGAAAGCATGCTTTCTTAAAGTTAGAAAAGAGGCCTAGACTGCCATGTTAAAAATGCTAATAATGAAGCCTAAAATTCCAGGTAACAAGGTTGGCCTCATTGCTTTTGAGCTTCCAAAGATCCCTCAAGACTTGGTTATCTCAGCAGGCCTGGGGACCCCAGTGGATGGGTGAGCTAGTGAGCTCTGTTATTATTAAGATCCCTTCATCTACTTTTGTTTTAGTTTGTTTTTTATAGTTTCTGATGTTTTAATTGTTAATAATTAGAGTGGTTTTTAGGTCTTCATTACTGTTTTAACTTTGTTGTAAGCCTCCCAGAGTTGCTTGTAAAAGTGAGATGGGCGGCTATATAAATTGGATAAATAAATAAATAAAAATATTGACTACTAGTTGTGCATAGAGATTGTCCAGTCCAATTTGCTTTACTTTGGAACTGGACTGATTTCATTTATGATGCTCCAGGTAGATGAAAATTACTTGATGGCCAGATCTGCAGCAAGAATGGTGAAAAACATTCTGTTCTTGCATAATGTAGTGGTGATGGAAGGAGGAGAAACAAATATTTTCACCCATTGGGATGTGAATGAGGTGCCCAACAATAGTCTAATCACAGAGATCACCCTGATTTGATGGTGGACCTGTCAGTTACTGAATTGGAAGGCTGTCCTTCCCCATCATAGTGTTTATAGAAACCACAAAAATGATATTTAATTTTGGCAAAGCTTCTGGGTGCCACTCTTCTCAGCATGTTTGAAGTTCTGAAGGAACAGATTAGGAATAGCGCTTCAAGGAAGAACAGAATTGTAATCTGCCCTGGATGAATGAAAATCTTTCCAAAGTATCTTTTTCTGCCTTGTGATCCAGGACATGCTCCAGCTTGAAATGATAGCTTTGGCAAACTGTTCTTCAATCTTCTGAATAAACATAAGTTGGACAAATCTTGTTTAAGCATAGGTAAAATCAGATGCCTTTTTTCTCTTCTACCTTTCCATGAAATGTGGGGTGTGGTGGGGGGTTGTTAAATTGCTGTCATTTCAGCAGATGAGTGAAAAACCTGATCAGACTTACTTGTCTAATGAATAATTAAAATGTATTCCTTTCGTTTAGATCACAGATCTTTCATTACCAAACTACCTGATGGCTTCTTCCATTGGATTACTTCCAACTCAGCTTTTAAATTCCTACCTGGGAACTACCTTGCGCACTATGGAAGATGTTATCGCAGAACAAAGTTTTAGTGGCTATTTCATTTTTAGTTTACAGGTAAATGGTTTGTTTAGACTTCATTCAGTAATTTGTTCTCATAGCATTTTAGGCCAACTCTTATAAATCAGTGCATCAGTCTGGTACCCCCTTGCTATTTTGGGCTGGGACTTCCATAATCTCTTACTTTGGCTATATTGATGGAAATTGACCTACAAAATATCTGGTATACTGCCTACCCTAACTGGAAGTATTTCATCTAATGTCCCATAGTGTTGTATGGAATTTATTCCTTAATTATATGCACTGTTAAACATTGAATTGGATCCTTCCATGAATAGAAGGTTCTCAGTCCATCAGTCCTATCCTGCCTGACAGAAGGGCTAATTCCTAAATTTTGACTGAAATGCTCATGCTTAGGGAGCAAGAAAATATTGGGTCTATTCTAGAAGTCATTGCATTTAAATAATACTTTACCTGAAGCAAGCTTCTGGGTTAAGAAAATTATTTAGATATTTGTATTGGAACCAAATGTTGCTATATCATAAACTTTTATAAGAACTGGAATCGTTATTTTTTTATACCAACTTTGTTGATAAAATACTGACATCTATAAAAGTTATTTGAAGTGAATTTTTAAGTTAGTATAGCGCTAGTGTCCCAGAATAGTTAATATTACAGATCTTTGTACTGTTGTTGAAGAACCAAGTAGCAATTTTTGAAGAACAGTGCCATGCCATACTGTGTTCCAAGGTCAGTGTGATTCTTTTCTGGAATAAGCCTTAGAAGACAGTTTAAACCAATACATGGAAGTTTTGATCATTTTCCACATGATGCCATGCTTGAATAGCTTGTACCTTTTTTCCTGCTTCAGTCTGCCACTTTTGGGTTTCCTAGTAGTTCCCTGTCATATTTGATAGTTGATAATAGTTGCAGTTCTGTCATTTTCCTCAAACCCAAAGCGATAATATTAGGACTTCTAGTCATTTTGTCAAAGATGTTGGAGCAGTATTTTCTTAGTGTTAGCGTACAATGGCAAAACTGAAGACATGACAATAGCCCACATTTTTTCCCATAAAGCTGGACAAATCTTAAGTATAGGTAAAACTATAAGAAGGAATACTTAATAAAATATTAAGTTTGACATTGGGAGCAATTTTATGTTAGATTCCATATTATTGGTTTCCTTAGTCACTTTCTGTGAGATCCTTGGCAGCATTTGGGTTCTGTGAAGGATGTGATGCTTAGGGATACCTTTGCAGTGAGATCACAATCTGAGATTGACAGAAAATATCTGTGTGCAGAATGCGTAGTCATTCATTAACTAGCCTTTCCAAGCTGGCATCTTCCAGATGTATTGGATTACAAATCCCATCACCTCAGGCAGCAAGCCCATGCCAGATTGCAAAAAAAAAACATTACTTATTTTTGAATATATGACATAATATTCAGGTGCTTTATTTGATTGTTGACATAGAGTGTTGAAAGATTAGTACAGGTGACACTGAGAATGATACTTAGGAACACATATGCTAGTCTTTCAAAAGGATTTTTCCTAAATTAAATCAATATATAGCTTCTGTGAAAAGATAATATTACTCTGTTGAAACAAATTTTGTTTGTGTCCTGTAATATGATATGTCTTTTGGAAATGACATTAATAGCATTTGAAGGCTGTACAAATGCCAATATTATTCTTTCAACCTATACAGAGGTTTGTTTGTTTTTTAAGTCTAAATTGCTTAGTGAATCCATGGCAGAAATGAAATTCAAACCAGCAGTATTGTAGTTTATAGCTCTTCGTCTCTGTATCACACTATACCTAGCTGTAAGAGTTAAATTACATAAATCATTAAACTAGATGTAGGATATAAAGTTCTCTATTTTTCATCTAAATTGAAATTACTTGTTTATTTAGCTTTATTGTTTATTTAGAGTGTAGATAAAAGTTGGACATATGTCTCTATACCAAAGACACAATTAATTGCATACCATTTTGTCAGCTGTTGCCAAGAGCAGTCTTCAATATTGGTATTTCTTCTCTTAGTCTTACTTGGTAGTTTGTGAGCAAATGACAGTTCAAGTGAAGTTAGAAGCCAGCTTAAAAATTCACTTTCTTGATGATCTTTAAATATTTTTATGTCCATAATTGCAACTAAAAATATTAAACAAGACAATCATATCTGCTTCATTCACAGATTGTAATAAGTATAGGCCTCATGTTCTATGTTGTCCACCGTGCTCAGATGGAATTGAATGCAGCCATAGTTGCATGTGAAATGGAAATGAAGACATCACTTGTGAAAAGCAGTCAGACAAGCAGCAACAATTCAACTTTTTGCAACAAGAGGACGCTTGCATTTTCTGGAGGAGGAATCAACATTGTGTGATTTCCTCTCATTTTCTGCAGTATTATGTTAGATTTGTGAAACTGAGTAATTTAATCTGTTGCTTAAGACTGCTGGACTTTTCAGCAAAACTTAAAATCCAAGTGGCTGGAAGATGTACTATGTTACAAACTACGTGGCAGTTTTTAAATGGTAAAATGGCTAAAATTTTGTAGGGTTCAATAGTAACTGTAAACATAGATGCAAATCTGGCTGCACCGTTGTCTTTATTATAGTTATCATGATTTATAGTCTGCACTTTAGACTTCGTTTGGTGTTTGCTTTTATAAACTGAAGAATACCCTGATACAGTTTTCTTTCTGCTTAGCATTATTTATAAGGCTGACTAATAAACAGTAGATCTTTAATACTTATAAAAATGTAAAGTATGCAATTTCATGTGCAGTACTCTTAAATGTGTGTGTTTTTGAAACTCAGTGAAACCTTGATTTGACAGTGCAGTTTAGAGAGTGGACTTTGTTCCTCCTGAATGTCCATGAAATTGCAGATTACATCATCCCTGGTGATTTGCCTATCTGCAAATGATGTAATACTTATAGAAAATTACATATCTAGATTGCTTTGGGTGGAAGACTTTTGTCCATTATTTGGGAAGATATTGGAGAGAAATTTGACCTACTGCACCTGAAGTCCACTAAGTGGATGTCCACTAAATTGAGGTTTCACTGTATTTCTGGAAAGGAATACAATCTCCTTTCATAACTGGGAACAATCAATGCAGAAAAATCCCATTTTTCATGACTGGGAAGTTAAGATGAGCACTTCCTCAGGAGAGGGCTCTTCTGGAATCCAGAGTAATTTTCTTGTCTGTAATAGGTTACAGGGCAACCCCATGCTTCTTTGGGGTACCCACTAAAGAAAAGTGGAGAACATTTTTGCTATTTTGGAAACCATTTGGTTTCCTTACTTTGTTTTGCTGAGAGCTAAGGGAGAGAAAGAACCCCTTATATAAATCTTTAGTTGAATGTATTTTTGTAAGCCTCTGAAATGTTCTGGAGCCATCATAATTGTTCATATAAGTTCAAATCCTACATTGTGGGACTGAAGTGCTCTTATATAACATGTTAAGTTATACTGTGTAATATGCAAAGTAAAAGGGAAACTACAGAGTACTTAATAGATTGTGGCAAAGAATGGTGTGAAGGAGAATTTGCAGGTAAAATGCAAATCTTTGACTTGGTTTTATCATCCTTGTGAGTAACAACAAAAGGGCTCTTCCACAGTTTCTAACTAGCTGTGAAAAGATTTTAGGAAACCGTACATCAGATTTGCTTCATTCTGCATCCTCTAACACTAGCAAAATAGGTGGAAATCTTTCTGAAAACATCATGATACTAATTAATCACGTGGCCTTTATTTTTTAGAGAAGACCTTTTGGTTTTTCTTTTTAAAAAAGCTTTAAAAATCCACACAATTCCTCCCTGAGTATATTTTCCTCTGATCATAAAATAATGCTCTTGTGTAAGTTTTCTGCAGTATTTTAAGATTTGTATCTATGAGGCTGTGAAGATTGCATGTGTCCCTTTCTTCTTTTTTTGAAAAATTAGGAAAAGACAGGTTTTCCATCTTAAAAGCATTGACTAGAAAATGGCAGAAATGTCTTGAGGCTCAGGAATCTGTAAACATTTTTAAAAGAATATTTCATACAATGTGTTGAATTCTCTTTAGAAAATCACCAAGGTTTGAATGGACTGGAATAAGCCTAGCTATGCTTATATGTATTCATATCATAATTCTTTATAGATTGCATATTTGTATGCCTGACATGAGAACTCAGAAAGATACTTCATAGCAGTTTGAACCAACTCGAATCTTTGAACTCAATTTTATTTTTGTCTGAACAATAGAGTCAATTTCTGGCTCTTACACTTTTGGAATACTCCTTCCATTCCCTCCTAGTCTGTTGTCATGGTGCAGTGATTTGTGAAAAGCTATAAACCATAACTACAATGAAATACAAAATTCGGCCATTGACTTCAACAGGTTTGTTTGTTGTTGAGGCAAATTGTTTTCAAATTTATTGTGCAGAATAATCTTCTGCTCAGACTCTACCATATTTGTTAGATAGCTGAATAAGTAAATATGCCATATCCCCATGTAATTTAAAAGATCATAATATTTCAAATTTAATGATAAATATGGAACTATTGGCAAGTCCTTGTCTGGGAAATTCAGTGTTGTTCTATAGTTGCATTGCTTTTGCTCCTTGAAAATTGGAAGTTTGGCTACTATTTTATTACACTTTGACAGTGAATGATTGCTGATCCCTTTATTACTGTGGCTTTTATTTGAAAAGTAATACCAGTAGGCACTGTAACTTGGATGTTACTTCACCCAAGGTTTTACCAATACTTGTTATTTTGTGAACTCCTTTGTTAACAACAATAAAGGAATCTTTGCAAAGCTGTATTTTCTGGCGGATTTAGTTCCATTATGTTTTGCAATCGAGACAATTTCACTGTACAGTGGTTTTGAAATTGAATCCTTTTTTTAAGGTTTTTGCATGTTATGTGGTACCTATGTTTAAGGATGGATTATTATTATTATTATTATTAGACAATTTCACTGTACAGTGGTTTTGAAATTGAATCCTTTTTTTAAGGTTTTTGCTTGTTATGTGGTACCTATGTTTAAGGATGGATTATTATTATTATTATTATTAGACAATTTCACTGTACAGTGGTTTTGAAATTGAATCCTTTTTTTAAGGTTTTTGCTTGTTATGTGGTACCTATGTTTAAGGATGGATTATTATTATTATTATTATTATTATTATTATTATTATTATTTATATAGCCACCCATCTCATCTAAGTGACTCTGGATAGCTCACAACAGGTAAAAACAATCCAATAAAAACAAATTAAAAATCAGTATACAAAGATAAAAATATCCATAATCAATTTAAAAAACCGGGTCATGATCAGTGGCAGAATTCATCCTACATCAGCTGAACATAGCCATTGTACAAGCTCCTCGCCATTGCCAGACCCCAAGGCACGGCAGCAGAGCCATGTCTTCACAGCCTTCCTAAAGGTCAGGAGGGTCAGGGCCAATCTAAGGTCCACAGCAGAAAAGGCTCGCTTCCTAGGTCACACCAGATGACACTCTTTCATAGACGGGACCAGCAACATCCCTCCCTTCTGGTCCTGATGGGATGAGTAGATGTAACTGGGGAGAGGTGGTCGCTCAGATAACCCAGTCCCGTGCCATAGAGGGCTGCATAGGTCATAACCAGCACCTTGAATTGAACCTGAAAGCATACTGGCAGCCAACGCAGCTTGTGGAGCAGCGGTGTAGTGAACTAATTGAGAAGCGTGCATAACTGCCTGCGCTGCTGCATTTTTACCAGCTGCAGCTTCCAGTTGCTCTTCAAGGGAAGCTCATGCACAGCACATTACAATAACAATAAAAGAATATGTGTAGCTCAGGGTTGAACTGTGGAGTCCTTGGGGTCCTCTGATTGGGGTTGTTTCTTGCAAACAACCAAGCTCAGAGAACCCCAAGGACTCTGCATTAAAATAAACCATTTGAGAGGTGACCAGGGCTTGAGTGACTGACAGCAGTTCCTCCCGGTTCAGGAACAGGCACAACTGGTGCACAACACAGTTGCACAAAGGTCCGCCTGGCTGTGGCTGTCGCTTGCTCTTTCAGCGGGAGCTGTGAGTCCAGAGCTGCCAGATTGCGTACTGAGTCAATTTGGGGTGGTACCACCCCATCCAGAACCAAAGATGGTAAGTTCCTTGAACCAGTAATGTGTTCTATGTGGGGCTGCCTTTGGAGACCATTCAGAAGCTGCAGGTGATCAAAAATGCAGCAGTTTGGGCAGTGATGGGCATGCTGTATTATGCCCATGTGTCACCACTGTTGCACATGCTACACTGGTTGCTAGTTTGCTTCCAGCTGCTGGTTATTACCTATAAAGCTCTTCATGGCATAGGACTGGTTATTTGAGGGATTGTCTATTTCCAATACATTGCGTGCACAATTATTAGTCAAATTGTATTTCTGAGGATGAATTTCATTATTGAACAACTACAGTGCTCTCAGTCAATCT